AGGTCTGAGAGGATAGATGAAATTGCAGCTCAAATCGTGAACGATCTATGCTGTCATCGGATCCATATCCAAGTCAAGGACAGACAGTATTCACGTTTTATGGGGCGTCCACGAACTTCGCCAAAGAAAAATAATCACACCAGTTGAAGCTGGCTCTTGCAGGTTGAACGTTGGAACTTGAAACGGCTTGACCATAAGACTCGAAAATAAGGTGGTATATCGCCACCAAAATTCCGCTGAGTGGGGGCCCGGATTGTTTCAGAGATTTGAATGGGATCTGGAATTTTTAAGCTGGCTGGTTGAAGCACTGCTTGACCTTGCGCCACGAAAGCTGTCTCAGTAAATCCTTCAAGTATAAATTGTAGAGGTTATAAAATTCTTATCGGAAAAAGAGTGGTATCAACGAATGTGATCATAATTGTTTGGTCGGGAGTCCGAGCTTGCAGAAATTCGAAGTTTGTGGCTTTTTTGTTTTGTCACCGTTGTCCAGGTCTCCAACACAAAACTCCCACCACATCTTGCAGATATGGTACCTCTGGCAAACTTTGTGTCAGTGGTCGCCGGTCAGACTTCATACTCTCCGACTCATATCCATTCATCCACGAGCGAGACGCATGATGCATTTATCGCGGCGAGTCCTGCTACCGTCGCGCTCGTTGTTCGTAGTCTTCTTTCGAAGGTTTTTCGAAATTCGAGGACGACGAGGATGCTAGCGTAGTTGAGGCTCTGAAGACAACAGGGCCGTATGTGGGCCAATAGTTAGCGAACTGCAAGAAATTCCCCTGTGGGTCCGCATGTTTTGACCTCTCGTGTTCTAGTTGTTTGGCTACGAGAACTAGTTGGTCCTCGAAAAGAGACGTCGATGAGAGCAACCATTGCGGACCCAGAAGCCAAAATCATACTTTCGCGAAGCTATACTTTAGTACTACTGGTGGGTTCTTTCAGATAATTCGAGGTTGATAGTGCGACTTACCAAGGTTATCACAGCTAACACAATATTGGGACGCTAATATCGAGCAATCACTTTCCAAAAATTAAAGCCCAAGTGTCCCAGCCCCATAACATCCTTATCTTTGGATAATTCTGGGTTTTGAGGTCACATTCGAAAAGTCAACAGCGTTCACATAGTCTTGATGCAGAACATCTCTTTTTTGAAAAAGACGTTTAGGCTGCCACAGCAGATTTTGTGGCTCCAGCAAAGGGTCTAGGTTGCGGCTTAGTGTTCGTTGCTTCTTCCGGTTGAACAGTGGGCTCCAGGGTGACTGGTAAGCGCTCAAGTTGCATTTACGTGGCCTGTATTTGAAGAATCGTATTCTGAACGGCCGGAGCGCAAGATAGGTTCGCGACATGGTGGGTTATGCACAGAACTCCGAATATTCTTGATTCTGATATGGACAGGCAGTGACATTGTCCACAGCGTTGCGTTCATAACCAGTGTCTTTTTGCGCTTAGAAGACGTTCCAAAGGAAGTTGTTCGCCGTGAATCTCGACTGAGACGACAAAACGAATCAGTTTCTAGTGTTTTCCCAGACGGACACAAGGTTCCTGAGAGCCAGTCTGTCGATGGGGACGTCCACGTTCCTGAGTGCTAGTTGGCTGCCATTTGGAATGCCTCGGTTTGACGTTATATCGCGAGCAAATGGTCGTGAACACAATTGTCCTGCATATCTGCCTCCGTTGTCGCTTTCGGTACTCGGAAGTGGGCGATCATCGCTTATTTCGATCAGCAAACGGAAGCAAAACAGCGATCAGAATGGCGCATGGGACCAGAGGACGGAGTGAAGAAGGAGAATGTATGTTTGGTGGGGGAGGAGTTGTTTGTGGCCTGTATGTGACCCGTCACTCTTGGAGAAGCACGCCTAAAACCTTTAAAAACTGGACCCTGATGCTTTTTTCCCCCTCTCTCCACCCTCCTCTCAACTATCATGTCCTCACACAACGACGCGCCCCCTCCCTATCCGGGTCCTAACCCATTCTCTCTCATCTCGTACGACGATACCGTTGCTGCTGACGATGTTGAAGACTCCCTTCGCTTGCCTTCCTATCAACATCGGACCAACGCTCGCTACGAACCCTATCGACACGCGTATTTACTACGACATCGTCCCCCTAGGGACCCCTTATCCCGCTTTGAAGTAAATTTCAGACCTTCTTTATCAACATATTCCTTATGATTGTCTCGTACTTCGCACAGAATACCATTTTTGACGAGTTATGTACTCCACTCGAGGTCCCTCAGCCCACCGCGCCTTCTCATGTAGGTTTCCATTTCGCACGACGACAATAAATAGGCCTTTATCTGCCTGTCTTAGATGGCTGCTTCGATCGTCCTTCCACCAGCACCTACTATTCCTCCTCCTCTACCCCCTTCACACTCTCCACTCTCACGCCAAGAAGAGCACATTTCACGGATAATCCGCCTTCTGGACTTGATTGCATGTTTTCCCCAAATTTATACTGGCATTCAGTCTAACTTGATTTTTTTTCAGCCAGAATTTGAGCGTGCGATCCGAGATGGGCTCAATGAAGTCAAACGCTCTGCAGAGCGCCGAAGCCCTTCTGACACAAAAAGATCACACTAAGGATGGAATGGCCTCATTTCTTCAAATGTAACATACCCGACACACCTACAAATTATTATCTTGGAGGATGCATATTACTCTTTACTTTTTTCTTGGCTCGTTTTCTTTAACATGACTTTGAGTGTACTATTCTGTAACAGGTTGTGGATACTTGTAACTATAATTGTTACCCTACATTTTGACTTCACTTCGTAAAAATTTAACCAGGAGTGGATGCAAAGTGTATCTGATGAATCTCTTGAAGTGAAAAATAACATTGTAAGTTGTTCAGGAATTTCGCCCTCAAAAAAACGTAGGCGCTACCAGGGATCGAACCTGGGTTTCGAGAATTCACATTATCAGAATCTCGAGTGATAACCACTACACTATAGCGCCATTTTAACCATCGTGGTTAAGTACAATATATAATCTTTCATGTCCGTAAGCATGCAATGCCTTTGTTGTCCTATTCACTTGAACATAATCTAAATAAGCCGTCTAATGCTTTTGCCCCCAATGGTCTTGGCCGCATTTCGTTCAACAACAGTGGTAGTTTTTTCAATTTGCTCCTCTGTCATGACAATTCTTTTACCCAATTGTCTGAACAAGTAATCAGTGCCCTTCAGAAAAAGATGAAGGGTGAGTAGATACCTCTTTCGTTTCTTGACCAGTGAGGGTTTCGCATCTTCTTCGTCAGGCGATGCTGATTTATTATTCTTCTTCGCCGGGACAGTCATCACGGATTCGTCTGCCTCGTCGAGTGTTAGTTGGTCTACATCTTGCGCAAGCTTGTCAATTCGCATCTGGGAGTTGCTGACTGCCTGGTCTGACTCTGATCTCGGTGCTTTGCTTCTGGACGAAGTCGAGCGAGGAACCCACTCGTCGTCGTCGTCGTCGGCGTCTTCGCTGCATGACGTATCATGTGCTGTAACACTTTCATGCTCATTCTCTGATAGCTCCGCCTTTTCATTGTGGAAAGGTTGTGGTCGGTCTGGGAAGGACTTCAGCACTTCTAAAATGGTCAGCCTGTTCGATATCTGACGTACTCTTGCTCTTCTCAGCCAAGGGCGACATGGAGGGCGACCTGATGCTCTTCGAAGAGAAAGTTCCCAATTCGTCTTCTAGTTCTGACTCGCTTTGATCGTACTCAACCTGGTTTGTACAAGCACATGGGTCTTCACAAAGGAGGACAAGGAGCGAAGATATCTACCAGACTATTTTCGACCTCAGCCTCTTCGTCGGAAACCTCATCAAGAGGCGGCCGCACGACCTGCCTCTTCATCGGACTCCCAAACAGTCCAGATTGATGTAGCATGTCGATCTTGGCATCCGTTTTCAGCTCATTTTGTTCAAGCTTCAAATAAAATGAGAGGACAATCTGGAAAACGAGGGACTTTTGCCTACCTCCTTCATTAGTCGACGCGAATATCTTTCTTCGATTGCTCTCATCCTTTCTTCCATTTCGTGCATCACCTCTTCCCGTGTCTCAGCTTCGATGATCGCACAACGCATTTCCGATTCGAATAACTATTTTTTGTAAGCATTGTATTGGTAATGAAAATGAAAGTAAGTGTACCTGCATGCGCAAATTCTCTACTTCATCGAAAAGGGCGTCCACGAGGGGGTTGATGGGCTCATCGTCATCATTGGAACCTTCTTCTTGATCATCATTCGGCTCGTCCTCTGCATTACATGAACGACAAGAAGGGAGGAAATTCAATTTGGGGCCCTACCTTCAAGGACTTCAACGATAGCTTCACTCGTCTGTTTACCGCCTTGACCGCCCATTGAAATGGTCACTTTCCTTCGAGATGGATTGAAAGGTATGATTTCCGGGTCGTTTAAGGTCAGTGGGCCCAACGCTTTGATGGACATGCCAGCTATTTTGCCTGGGCCCTTCATCTTCAATATCGGTGCTGGAGCTGGATTCACGTAGACTTCCCGTGCAAGTGCAGCAAATCGCATGACATGCGAATTTTCGTCGTATCCTGTATCATAAGGATTTACATTCACTATCATGGCCTGCTAAATCGGTGAGTAAACGGAAAAGAGAGGGCTCAGGTGTTGACGTGCCGTTTTCCCGTCTGCAATGAAATAATCCATGAGCAACTCGGTAAGCTTGCTATGCCTGAAAGGAACCACTGCCAGTGTTTTCTTCACGTCTCTCGTGTCCATCCGCGCATCTTGGCCTGAGCCCTCTTGTGCGAGACTCGCGGCTACTTTACGTTGATTTGCACGCATCACTTCCATACATTGACCCAGTACCATGAGGGATTTATTGATATTTCCAGCTTCACGAAGCCGGTCACCCGTGGTGTGGGTATGCTTCGTTCGCTCCGAACCAGCAAGGTCGACAAGTGTCAGACGCGAGACTTGAAGCGCAGTAGGGTCCTAGAGAGACGCGAGTCAGTCTATAGCTAAAGTCAAAATCTACACCAGCGCTCACATTCTTTTCTCCTCTATGGCCTCTAACAACCTTAATAATTACCACACCATGACTTCTGCTGCTCTCACTGTTGGCCAGGGTACCGAACACGCGGCGATGGAGCTGCCCAAGCCTCACGAGTGCTTTGGCCTGAGACGTGCTATGAACTCGGAATTGTCGAAGCCCCGAGATGTATTTTCCAGCAACCGAATCTCCGTTATCCGATGCTGGGGATGGCTTCAGAGGAAGGGCGGCCCGTGTTAAGACCATCGATTTTACTGCTGTTGGTCGAGATATCGCGTCGCCATTGTCTTTGACGGAGTCGAGCAGATCGTAAATTTTTTCGTTGTACACCTCGGCATACGAAAGCCAAATGGTGTATTCGTAATTACGATCCACTTTCAGGTTGGTAGGGTCTATATCGGTGTCACTCGCGGAGATGTCCATATGTTGACCAAAAACTTCGGCCAAAGTAGGCTCTGGGGCAACAGGAGGCGGCTTTGAATCGCTTGGATGAGCGGGCTCTACGCCTTGTAAACGAACAGGCCGGAACTGAGGCAGGAGTTAGCAAACAACAGCTTGAGAATAAAAACAAGGATGATCACTCTTCCGTCACCGTGTAGCCCATCGATACTATTGAAAATTACATCAAGAGCCCGAGGAAGGATACCAGCACTTCCAATTTGTGTGCCCCCCTGAACAGTGTAGGTTTTGCCGGAATTTGTGACGCCGTAAGTGAAAAGAAGGCCATTTTGGCCATGTAGGACGTCTCTAACCAAAGGCAATGTTGTCTTAACAAAGAAGTCAGACTGTGTCGTGTCAGGCGGAAATACATGAGAGAAAGTATATGTTGATGACGGAGGGAGAACCGAAGGGCGGAACCGTGCAGGTTTATCTTGTTGCTCGTTTGGATCTACCATTCGAACGGCTGTGTCTGAAAGGGGAGTCAAGTACGGTTGAACGGTGGGTCCATCGTTGCCCAGATTTGGCCTAATTCTAAGGAAAGCCTTACAAGGAGTATTAGTGGGAGTAATAATTGTTTGAGCAATGACACTGATTCACCATGATCGGTTGGCGTTCAGTATCTGACACAATAACATTGCTTTGCTTTGAAGTTGCCTTCCGATTTACAGATTTTGGAGGTGCTTTTGTAGAATCAGTGGTATTTTCCCGACTGACAAGGGGCTTGCGGGTGGTAGTCTTTTTCGCTGTTGTGCCTACCAGCTCGGAGGTGGTTGGTTTTGCAGTCGCTGTTCTTGCCCTAGTTGTCCGTGAGGTAGGAACAGCTGGAGCTGGAGCTGGAGCTGTCTTTGTGCGTGATGAGGTTCTAGTCGTAGTGGGAGGCTTCGAGGTCATCGTACAAGGTTCAAGTTGAAAGGTCTTGACTCTAGGCAATGCTAAATGGATCATGTGATCGTGTTTGATGTCGCGTTCACGTTTGTTTGTTTCGGTTAACTCGCGACTTTGGATTCAACAAACTCAGGCTAGGCTTCCGACATCATGGCCGTCAGCAAAGATTCGCCCAAGAGGCGCAAGTCGATAGCAGTCACCAACCAGAACAAGCCTGCGGTCATTCCCAGATCTAAAAGGCGTCCACATAGCATCGTCCCTGGTGATCGTTTGAGCCCATTTGCTAAAGCTCGACGTTCAATGGTTCGTTTGAGCATTAGAATACTGGATATTATATGCTCTAACATGGCTCTAGGCTCCACGTAAAAGTATCCTCAAGACCTTCACTAATATCCTACACAACGACATTGATACCTCAACTTCGCAATTTCAATCAGAGTCACAATCTACATATCCACCTTCCTCTCTCGATGACACGACTTCGATGGATATTACCAGGGATCTCGGCAGAAAGTCGCTTGGAGGAAGGCGTGTTAGTTTCGCGGAAAGCGTGCATGTCCGCCTCATCCAAAATTTGAAAAAGGACAAGGACCAAGTTAATGAGGTCGACGACATGGATACATCCCCTGTGATCCACCAACCTCAACCATCAATTCGCTTTGAAACCAACGAGAATGATTATCCGGGTGCTGCCTCAAGCAGTAGACGTCGAAGCTCTACGCGTTATTCCCTTGGCGAGGACATGGACCTAACGTCAATTGCCCCACAAGGCTTCCTGACCGGTAATGGCTCAGCGCTGATGGATGAAGAATTAGATTTTGGCGGCTACGAAGAAGATCCTATGGATATGACAGAAGTTGTTCAAGGCAAATCAGTACGGGAACGCTCCACATCCGTGGACAGAAGGACTCCCTTTGCCCCGCTCGAGCAGAAAATGCAAGAACCATTATTTGACGGTGACAAATCTCAATCCTTTGAAGAATCTGATTCACAGGCACTGTCTGAGGATCACTCGGGACTCATGGACTTCACCATGCCTCTAAGCAAATCTCAGCGACCCCCTGCTGAACAGGATGCTGTTTGGCACGCTCTAAGGCAGGCTACACATTCTGGAGACACCCCAATCGAACATGAAATATCTTCAGAAGATGGAGATCAGGAAAATGTTCCCTACACAAATGACGCCATGGATCTCGACGATGCTCTCCAGCGATTGATGCGTGCTCGTGCATCTCTTCCCTCTGTATTAGCTATGACTATGCCTGCCGAGTCAGAGCACCTCGACGATAGCTTCTCTACAGAAGGCAGCTTTGAGGATGAACAGAATCAAACAATAAACGTCAGCGCAGTATATGGTCAACCCATTGGTCGTCCGGATGGACGGCAGAGTATAGGGTCAGCAATGGACGAATCAGAAGTTTATGGTGCAATTGACGTACAGGCGCATTCCACTCCGAGGAACCCAACGGTTCCGCCACCCCAGCCATCCCAATCCAATAGCCTACCTCCACCAGCCCAACTTTTCCCGTCTGTTTTCCAGCCTCCCCCAGAAACACCGTCAGCATCGAGCGAAACACCATCCATCGCCAATCAACAGACTCCAAAGCCGGTTTTCACGCGG